AGTAGAAAACCTTTCTTTTCCTTAAGAAGAACCACTCTTGTGCCACAGGCAAACTATTGAATTCCCTCATCAATCTTATTATTGGGAGAACACTCTTAATGTAGGAGCTATTGACATATACCAGGCCTGATCTGGTGTTTCCAACAGGCAGATCCCTATGTGCAAGAGATGGCATAATTTTCCTAATTGCCATAAGAAGGCAAGTTTCTTCCTTCCCCAAAGTCTCTGAAAGACTCTTCTTGTCTGTTGCTTTTTGTGTCCTCCTATGTTCCCCTTTCAAATAAGAGAATTATGCTGACATAATCATCTTATGTCTAGTTACTTAATATCAAGCAGACAATTGCTAAAGTTCTTGCATCAGCAATAAGATTCTAATTATTCCTTGGTAGCTGTGCATTCTGGCATTAGTAAACCAAGACAGCTGTAGCCATTTTCATGCTGTCCTTATCTTTGATGGCAGTTAAAATGTGTTTATGCACCCTTGACTCTAAGCAAATATTTTGCTGGGTTTGGGCTCCTTTTTTTTCCCGTAAATTTGATCTTGACAGTTTTACATCAGTGGCATAACAACAAAAATTTGCCCAATGACATCTGTGCAGTCTGTTGGCAAAAAGTCTTTGTGGATATAAACAAAGAAGGAATCACTGAAAATACCTAACAGCTGTCCTGTAATCATGGATATCCTTTCCATATAATTGGAAAACTGTTGTTTTCTCCTCTGTTATGCTGCATTAAAAAATAATAATGACGATAAGTACCGAGAAAAAAGGGAACCAAAACCATGTTCAGAAACAGCACAGCACAAAGGTAAAAATAGGAACACAAACTATTTTTCAGTTCTGTGACACAAATTGACGCCATGCAGACTTTTGGCAGACAAGCTGATGCAGGAGTGGCTGTAATCTTACAGTTTTGGGCCTAAATCCACCTTTCAGGTACTTGGTGCACAGTCTTTGTGGGTGTGCCTGTCAGAATGTTAGACCAGGCATGCTGACCCATCAGTCAGGTCTGCTGATTCAGGCTCCCCTCCTGCGTAGTGCAGAGGATTTCCTCCAACTGTGCCTGGGGCTGTGTTTGCTGGGTAGTTTTAAGGCAGATGTGAAATCCCTCTCAAACAATGGCATGTACCCTACAGCCTGACAGAAAACCCACTGACTCATACTCAGGGATAACAAAAAACTCAGCATTTTGCATTCCAGAAGCTAAAATGAAACTATCGCATAACTGCTGGAACAATGTTACTAATCACCCACTTCTGCAGTTCATAAAAGTATCCTGGCTTTTTCGAGATGGAAAATATGAAGACCAGTCTGGATGATCAGGATATTAGATTCACCCTTAAAATAATTCCGAATAGTCTAAGTATTTTAAGAAATTTGAAACTGCTTGGTTATAAAACAAGGCAGTATCTATAGTCAGCCATTAAATTGTCTGTTGATGGTTTACTGGGTTTGCAGATGTAAGCATTGGGCCTTTTTTGTGTTTGAAAGATTCCTTAACAATACACCTAATACCAGGTTTCATGAATCCTGCGTCCATAGTTGGTGCATTGTTGGCAAGAACCAAAGTTGCCCATGCTACCCTGAGAAAATTGATTTGAAGAGGATGTTAAGTAACCCATACCCTCTCTGTAACAAGTGTGCTTTTGATTTGGATTTTCTAAACCATAGCCTGATTACTTAGTAATTCTTGTTTTGATCTGCAGTGGAGGGATGAGATGGCCACATTAAATGAATGGACAACCAATTATTGTTAAGGAACAATTATATTTAGGGAATATAAAGCTCTGTTTGCCTTTATCTTATCTAGGACCCAAAGCAAGCTAGGAAAAAAAAGTGCATATATATTTTCCTTCTTGATTTTAAGACATCCAGAAATAATTTTTATAATGAGAGGAACACTTTAAAAAACATAAATTTCAGTTTTATGAAGACCATGCAGTGGATTTTTCTCTTTAACAAAGTAACAACATTGATATAATCGATTTTCAGAACCAGTGCTTTTTTCCCTCCTCTTTGTAGTTAGTAAGCGGCATTTTTCCTTTAGCAAATAATATAATAGTTGAAGATCTGCTGCTGTGTATGTAGAAACTTGCTTGAGTGGAAGCAAAGTTTGGCTTACTTTTTTGGAGCCTATTTTAGTCATATGTGAGGAGGATATTTAGTTTTAACCTTACATTTACAAAAAAGGGAGGAAAATATGAGAGCTGGAAAAAAAAAAAGGATGTTTCAAAAATTTAACCCAATATTTTTTGTTTGATTCTGACTGAGAAAAATAACAGAATTTACCTGTTTTTGGGTTTTCTTTCCAGTTTCATTGTCGACAGATTATATGGGAACACATAAGTATTGTGTGGAAAACTTCTGGACTGGCTCTGCTATTTGGTAGTTTGCAATTGACTGTTATAGACATCATCCAAAGCATTAGTTACTCACTGGTTCTAAAATAGGACTCAGATAATTAGTGAGAATTTAAAGTGTTGGATATTTATCTGTCTACCATAATATGCATATTCTATACTTAATTTTAAAAGACTACAGAAAATAGCAATTAGTGGAACTCTGGTGTGCTAGAAACCCTTTTCCAGGACAGTGCCTCTTTTTGCATTACAGTAAGGCTGTACAGCATGCTATGAAAACATATTTTATTTTCTCAAAGCAAGAATTAAAAGAAGTTTATGCTTTTAAATATAAGCTTGTGCTAGGAAAAAAATAGAGTTATTTCTTAGAATGAATGAGATACTAGCAGAAGTAGCTTTTGAACTCAAATTAAATATGGTCAGTATTTTAAGAATCTTTACATTGTTATTAGAAATCAGAGATCCACAGTAGCTTAACTTACACTTTAACATACATATGAGAAAAAAGCAGAGATTGTGTGAAGCCATCTGCAGATGATGCTAAAAAAATGCAGGAAATGATGCAGTTAAAAAACCCAAGGTAAATGAAAGAAAGAACAAATCTTGAGTACATAGAAAGAAGGTGGCTTTGTTAGCTTAGATGAAATAACAAAGTTAATAATTCTTATTATGTGTTATGCCTGTATTCATAAATGCAAAAATGCAAGTAAATAAGCCATTAATTTTTGTTTCACTGTTGGAGTTGCCTAACTGCAGGTGTAGTAGAAGCATGTGTGTCCTCAGCCTTCCCAACCACTAGCAAAAAACAGGGGTACTTCTCTCACTGACACTTTGGCTGTGCAGAGAACTGTCTAAAAGCAATAACACGACAGGTGTTATTGCTCTCACCACCTGTGAGAGGAAACTTCCAATGCACCCAACTCAGTTACAAATATTGAGGTGTTTGAACAGAGTTTTTGTACCACATTAGATGCTCAAGATCAAAACACAGCAATAAAAACACTAACTTGGATGTGATCTCATCACAGATACAGCCAAGTGTTTTAGGTGTTTCCATTTGAAGACTTTTAAGACTTGCTTCTGTACATGTCTGGAAATGTCCTACACTGTGACTAAGCCTGAATTGATATAGAAGGTAATTGTCCCTCTGTCCTGCGAGGTTCAAGTTATTAGGGTTCATCTGAAATTTCCTGTGGCTGCAAGGCAACTATCACCAAAGACACCCCTTTCTTTTTAAATCATCTCTGAAGGTTGAGTTTGGTGCCACAGTCTCCTGTTTATTCCGCTTTTTCAGAAATTATGGCCCTTGTCCCAGTAATCTTCTCAAGAAAATGTGGCCCCAGCTGACAGCAAACACAATGTCCTGGGTGGGATGTTCTCTACGCCTCTAGTTTTGCAGACTACATTTACAGAGAGAGCAGAAAGGTAGGAAATACACTTTTTCTGCCTGTGTTAAGGTTACTGAACAAAGAGAGGAATGTGGTGTTGGATTCAAAGACTTCATATCTATATTAATGTTTCCCACATTCTAGCTGAAAATAGCCTTAACTCCGTTTGTGCAAGTCAGAAGAGGATTTGAACCCTACTCTGAAGCATCTATTGTCACATATGATACAATGAAACTAGATAGAAATCATCCTCCATAGATGTCTTTCACCAAGGAAGCTGTCTGCCATTGAACATATACGCTACAAGAACTGCAGTGATAAAGTGCATTTTAACATTCAGCCTTGCAGCCACAATCCTCAGGAGATCTGGTCATTTAACTTACAGTGATTATGAAATACTGAGAATCAGTCCTTAGATCCACTGACTAGGAGAGCTAGAAAAAAAATCTTTGAAGCACAAACTGAATGTTATACCATTTGATTAGAAGTGGTTTATACGCAGAATGCAGAAAAACCCTTGGCTAGGCAGGTTCTCTCCTAAAACTTTTGCAAAGATAAAGACATATAAACTACATAGCTGTATATCTAAACAACTATTCATCACTAAATATTTAAATGAAACAGCTTTTGCTAATACTGCTGATTAACATATGTAGACAACTATTGTGGTTTAACCTCAGAAGGCAGCTCAGCACCACACAGCCAACTCATTCATTCTCCCCACAGTGGAACAGGGAAGAAACTCTGAAGGGTGAAAGTGAGAAAACTCATGGATTGAGATGAACACAGTTCAGTAGGTAAAGCAAAAGCTGTTCTCACAAGCAAAGCAGAAGAAGGAATTAATTCACTACTTCCAATCAGCAGGGAAACGTTTAGCCATTGCCATGAAAGCTGGACTACATCCCACAGAACAGTTACTTGGGAAGGCAAACACAATAACTCCCCATATCCTCCCTTACTCTTTCTTTCCCACAACTTCTATTGCTGAGCCTGAAGTCACAGGGCAAGACATTATAGTATGGGACATCCCTTTGGTCACCTGGGATCAGCTGTCCCAGCTGCATCCCCTCCCAAATTATGATGCACCCCCATCCTACTTGCTGGCAAGACGGAGTGAGAAACAGAAAAGACTTTGATTCTGCGCAAGCACTGTTGAGCAATAACTAAAATGCCCCTGTGCTACGAAGGCTGTTTTGGTGACAAATACAAACCACAGCACCAAAGAAGGAACTATGAAGAAAATTAACTCTATTCCAGCCCAAACCAGTAAAACAATTCAGAACCATGGCTACAAAAACAAAATAATCTCACAGCAAGTGTTAGAATTTGCAGTAGCTCAGCTCTCTGTTCTTGAGATGCAGATAATTGACGGGACAAAAGGGCAAGGGAAGAAATTCCGGAGTATATTTACAATATATTCAATCTGTCTAGGATTTTAGAGCTATTTTCAAATTAAACCAAAACATCTGCTGCTGCTCTTCTTCAAGAGGCCACTCCAGGTAGGTCTTTGTGTTCATGATCTTCCGCAGCTTGCAGAACCTCTTGGGAATGGTTTTGCTCTGGATGGGCTCCAGGAGGACAAGAATCACCGCATCGTTGTTCTCATCAAAGAGGCGGAAATGTGAGAAGTCCAGCTCGTATTTGCACCACTCGCTCTGCACAAAGTGCTCAGACAGCACAAAGAGCGTTTTGTGGCTCTTCTCAATGGAGTCAATGATGTTGTCCACTATCCACTTCCCAGGCACAAAGTCCCGCTTATGGAGGCAGAGGCGAAAGGGAGGGCAGGCCTGCTCCAGCTCCCGCACCATTATGTTTTCCACCCAGTCGGAGTCGTTCTCACTGTAGGAGACAAAAGCGTCATAGCAGATGTCCTTTGGCGGGGCTTGCTTGGGCTTCCGCTTGGCTTGGAGCCACGCCCAGGTCATCCTCAGGTACCAGACCGCGTGGTACTTGTAGCCAACAGCTACAAGGATGAGGATGACCAGGAACACCAGGATGCAGATCGATGACACCACGAGGGACCTGTGGCACTCCATCAGGGACAGGTGTACAGCTCCAACCTGGGCCCCTCTCACCGCCAGCGGAGAGTCGCAGACGTACTTGTCTGGCCACCCCACCAGCACCTGGGATATCCCAGCCTGGTGGTGGATGAAGGAGAGGAATTCACAGGAGCAGATGAAGTTGTTGTCGCTGGCATCCAGCAGCTCCATTCTCTTGAAGGACTCAAACTCTTCCTTGGAGAAACTGTTGAGCTTGTTTCTCCTGACTGACATGACCACTAAGTTTGGAATGGGTGCAGCACCAGGCAGGGTCTTCAGCTGGTTTTTTGTGAGGTACAGCTCTTTCAGAAATGGGAGCTGCAGTCCAAACTCCTTCAGGTTGTTAGCACTAACATCCAAAACTTCCAGCGTTGGGGGAATGCAGGCCGTTACTTCAGGAATTTGTGTGCTGGAGAGGTTTAAATATTTCAGGGTTTTTGGCCATTCGCATGCATCTGGAATCTCACCAAAATTATTTTGGCTAATGTCTAAAACAATTAGGTTTCTTAGATGAGACAAACTTCTACCTGTCATTTCTAAGTCACCCAGTGAATTCTGACTTAAATTTAGAGTTTGTAGTAATGGCCAACCACCCTGACAGGCTGAATGCTCTAAACTCTGGTCTCCAAGCAAATTAGCACTAAGGTCAAGGTACTCTAATGACCGAAGATGTTGGGAAATTCTGCATGGGACCAAAAATACTTTGGTGTTTCGAACTGTGACTCTGGTAAAAAGAAACAGTAGATCTTGCACAGTCCGAAGATCTGTAAACAAGTAAAATTCTTCTATAGATAATTTCTGTATTGTGAGAACTCTAATGGTCTGTGATTGGTTTGCTTGAATCTGCATTTCCCATTGTCCAGTTCCCAAGAGTCTGCAGTCTATTAGCTCCACCTCCACTAATTTAGGCATGTCTTCTAAAATGCTGACTATCTCAGGCACAGTAGCATCTGTTAATAAGGTCTGTTTAAAAGAAATTTTCTTTGCAAAAGAAGAAGTCATGACTCTCAATAGTTGCATTTCAGCAGAGGTACTGAATGCTATTCTTCTCACTTCTAGCCAAGTCACAGAATGCAGAAGGTCCCTAACAATTTCTGAGAATATATTAATATTTCTTAGGTTTACAACCATGTGATTTATCTTCTTAATCAATTTCAAACTTCCCTGCTCATACTGACTGAGATTACCACCATCAATCCACAACTTGTTGAGAAGCTCAATGCCCTCAAAGTTCCCTTGCCTTATCACAGAGAACCGTGGGTTGCCCAGGCGGAGAGAGCTCAGGTTCCTCAGACCAGAAAAGGGAGAGCTTTCTCCCAGGTCTCTGTAGAAATTGCCTTGAAGGTGGAGGTGCTGGAGTGAGAAAAGGTGCCCAAACCACACAGGGGACAAGTGAGCCAAGCTGTTATTTGATAAGTCCAAGAGCTCCAGTTTTGCCAGGGACTGAAACGAGTCTTCATCTATGGAGCTGATTTTGTTGGCTTGCAGCAGCAGGGCTCTCAGGTTCACAGCCTGCTGCAGGTCCTGGGATCGGATGTCCTTTATCCTGTTGTGGGCCAGGTTTAACATTGTGATTTTGGCAGTGAGCCCTGGGGGAATGAAGTCCAAGCCCACGGAAGAGCAGTTGCAAAGCTGAGCATCACTGCATGAAGGACAAGCCTGCTTCAGCGCTTGCTGTTCAGAGAGGTTTGCAGCTAAGAGCATGTAGATGGCCCACACTTGCCAGCTGTGTTTAGTCATTATTTCACCTAAAATAAAAAATATAGTCAGAGCAAATATAAGATGGATTTGAACAAGGTACATTTTGGTTATATCTAAAAATATAACTTTCACTGTTCTGTCAAAACACTGTAAATATATTTGTTTTTAACACAATTCAGAGATGAAATGGATCCATTAAAAAAGACATACTATTCACAAATATTTCAAAATTATTAGTTAAAAGCTATGTATATTGATTTTGTCCTTTGATTTCCCCCTGTGATTTCTAAATTTGGCATGAAGACTATCAAGTCAATTAACAGCTCCACGAATTTTTTGCAGATTCAGCTAAACATCTGTATCAGCACAACTACTCTCATCCTCTTCCTCTTTAGTACAGAGTCTTCATACCTCTCTGCTCTGTCCCACCTCAGGTCTGTTTTTTCTGAGTCTGTGAATATTATTTTGTGTATTCATTTTTACTACAGGGAGTCTCCTGTGTGTTTTTCAAATCCTGGTTACATCAAGAAGAGTCAGCATCTTACAGTACATAGCATCATTCACATTTGATATCATGTCTAATGTCAATTCTGACAACGAGGAGAAGAGGAATGCCTTTGTTTCAGTCCATTCCTCATTTTATCTGCCTTTCTCTACCTGCGGATGTGCTAGGAGCAGGGAAAAAAATACTCGCCTGGATAACTGCATAGGCCATCTTTATCATGTTGCCATCAGTCCAGTACTTGCTAATAAAACCTGAGCTTGTAAAACTGACCATTGTTGCCTACTGACTCTTAGCTCTTCCTTTTACTGCCACATCCTTCTTCTCTGCCAATGCCTTTTCCTCTTTTGGACATCTGTGGCAGAGAGAAGATCAGGCCAAGCCACAAGGAAGAGCTGGGGCCTTTGGAGCCTCCTTCAGATCAGATCAGCTGTCTGAACTAGATAGCTTTTTCCAGCCCCACAGACTATTCCTGATCTTCTGGACTGAAATGATTCAAGAAAAGGTACACAGATGTGGATCCTGTGTCACTTCACTTTCCTCTCACAGTTGTGCCTTTTATAGTACTGATTTGGCATGGCTTTTTTTTGTTACAGAACTTGCTGCAATATCCACCCTGTCCTTACTCCCAACAAGGTGACTTTAGCTCTTCTATCCTTCTGAGGAGTTGGAAAAACAATTTTTGAAGCCTGAGAGAGCTCTTTTCCCTTTAAAACCCTTATTACATATTGAATTATAACCTTTTTTGACAAGGATCAAAGAACATTTTTAAAATATAACTTTCCCCTGTGTGTCACAACCCCCCCTACCTCAGTAGGTATCTTACCAAAGTTGAAAAGAATGAACCAACCCCAAAGAGGCCAATGAACAGGTTCACAAAATCATGAGCTACGTATTGGGTTAATCAGGTTAGACTGGCTCACTGAGAACTACTTTCTCCATTTGTCATCCCACTGAGACTGTGCAGAAGATCTCCTGTACTTTGATTTAATATTCTGATTTGTTTTACAGTAGCTGACCCACACATACAAGTTCATACAGATAAGTCCTGCCCTTCCAGTTGCATTATTTTTAGCCATAGTTGCTTAAGACTATTCAAAAGTAGCAGAGTTGACTGAGATGGTTTGAGCATATGGGGAGGGGAGGAAAAGTTGTGGATAATTTTTTCAATCATTCCATCTCTTCTCACCTGGAGGACTATAAATATTTTGAGCTCTTCTGTTATTTGCCTTTTATCTCTGTCTCTCTCTGATATAGAGCTTTGAATCTTGAAGGACACAGTTGTCTTCCATCTTTAGATGCCCACAGCTGAGCTAGTCATCCACCATGTCATCCAAAGTCAACGGAGAGAAATAACGTCTTTTAGGGGCAATTCTTATCACGTCTTAGACACCCAGATTAAAATGTGATGAGTCTAAGAGAATTGGCCCCATTGACTTAAAATGGAGTACCATAGTTTAGATACCTAGATAATTTTCCTTGTGAATCCCACATAGAGAATTGTAATCTGTAGTTACTCATCTGCTGTCCATCTGAGGCTCTTTTAGAGGGCTTTTATCGGTCTCACAAGTCTAACTGGATAACACAGTGCTGTAGGCTACAGGAGCAAAGCTACAGGTAACATGAGTTTCATCAGTAACAAATTCAAGTGGTATATTTATTGTTGCCATCAAAATGCTTACTGTTAGAAAAAGAAACAAACAGCTGACCTGATCAATCAAAAGCTATCTATAAATAGGTTATTTATAGGTGGTAAATTGCAGCACAGAAGGAAACTGGGAAGGTACTGCACAGGAAATACCAGCTGAGCCTAATGGCTCTTCACCTCACCAGCCTGAAAGTTCAGGATGCTTTTCCTTATTGTCACTTCTGTGAGCTTCTTTTCCAGTTTTTTGCTCATCTGTTATCTGAGCAGACACTCAGAAAAATCCCATTCCCACCCTCATTCAGTTTTCAGCCAGTCTCTTTCCCTTCCCATTCATCTCTAATGATTCTGCTTAAGACCCTGACTTACAGGATCAATTCAGGCATTTCCACACCCACTCAGACATACAGTTCTATATCATTGCCCTAACAAGGAATCACTTTTTCCCCTTGTGCTGGTAACTAAAAAGCCACAGAGAAATTAAAATGCAACTAAAAATACAGAAACTTGCACAGATGCCATTATACCATAAGATGCTGTGATGAACCAGACATTCAAAACATTTCTGGGTTATGGAGAAAGGGTCCAAGCCATTAGACATGCTCAGGACTGTCTTTGCTGGGCCATGTCAGTAGACATATTTGAGGAAATACGTGCATATTCTTAAACAAAACCATGACTGACAACAGAATGAGGTTCTATAAATGCTATCAAATGCAAAAGGTTAATGTAAGTGCAAATAATGCACAAATTGATTCTAGCTTGGGGAGCACTATCCAGGTAAATGTGGTAAATTTGAGCAGTGCTATGGACTCTGCAGTGGGATAGTCACCAGTTGGTGAAGGAGTCAAACTACAAGCAGACTGGGGAAAGTTGCTGCTCTCCACGTGGTTGTGTGTGGGTTACATGTGTGCATACACACATCCACACACATCCACGGAAATGCCTCTTCTTGTTTCCTACACAGAGAATGTGCAACAGGTCCGAGTTAGGTGAGGAGGTAGCTGAAGTCCTGAGGCCATTGTTCAATGAGCTCTTTCCTGGTTGAATTCCTGAAACCAAGGCAGCCCATCTTCGCACCCAGCTTTCCTTGGGCAGCTGGTATCAATACACAAGTGGGACAACATACAAACAGGACAAAGTACAAACAAGGCACCCTCCCACAAGGAAATTGAGCAGAAATGACACAGTCTGACCCAATTTGTCTTTTTCATTTGCTACTCTCCTCTCTCCCCTTTCCCAAAGGACACTGCTCCCATCAGCATGTCCCAGCTCTCCTGGCAAGTCGTCTTTGTTGCCTGCCTGCCATGCATAGCTGCCAGCTGCCTGTGACTGCACCTCCCTGCTCCACTTCTGCTGGCGACAGAAATCCCTCCCGACCCCACACTCGTTCTCAGCAGCTCTGAGCACCGTCAAACCCCCATGCAGAGATAGCCTCTTCCCAGTGCTCTCTCCTTGCTTCTTGCTCTGGCATTGCAGCTCCACTGTCTTTCCCTGCATCTCCAGCTTTCACCTACCTGAAAATTCACCTCTCTGCTGAAAAGATCCCCAGAGATGCCAGCTCCAGCTCTGGTGCCTGCATGCCAGTTAACCCATGTTGTGTTTCATCTCTCTCTTGTTGATCATTCTTTACCCAGCTTCCTCTTATGCTGCTGTTTCATTTCCACTTCACCTTTAAACCTTGATAATGTGAGCAGGGGAATTCCCACCTAGGTGATCTGATTGGCATAAAAGCAGGAACACTATCACTCCTTTTAAAATGTGCCAACCCAAAAAAGCCTGGGTCTATAGTACGAGTGTACCATATGAAAACTAAGGCTTCTCCTACATCTCTCTGACTCTCTCTTTGTAATGACCGGTAAGACTTATTTCCCTTCTTACCTCTACGTACACAGTATCCTAATATGTTTAATCAATACTCATTGTTTGCTCTCAGATGATTCACTCACCACCTACCTGGAGTTCAGCCTTGATTAGCTACTGAGCTATTTTTCTTCAAGACAGTGAGCAAAAAACCCCTTTGTAGCAGATTTTAAGCTGCCCCTAGAGACAATATTATAACAGGAAAGTAGAACTGAAAGTGGTGCTTGCAGGCTACACCCACAGAAACTACCACCTCATGTGTAGATATATGTACAGATACACACAGGAGTGTGAATATATACACATGTATAAGCACATACACATATACATGCATATGAACAAGTATACTAACAGACATGTCTGTATAAGCAAATTTTGCTATTTTTCAAATACTCGCTCAGCCCGTCTGCCAATGCTTTGGTTTATCACCACAAAATAATTGCATATCCAAAGTTTAACCAAAATTCATCTAGACTCTCCTGTACTTAAACTACAGCAATACAAGCAAAGGGGAACATGGAAGTGCCAAGGTAGAGAAACCACACCTAACTTAATCCCCTCAGAGACAATTTCAGGTTCCCATAAGAACGTCTAAAACACAAGAAATCCAGGCACTCAGAGTGTGACCAGCTATCTTAATATAAACATTTGTATCTACCTGCTTGTCTGGACTCCCTCTGTAATTGGTGAAGAGCAATACAGTAGATCTAGGAGATGTCTCATACTGAAGTAGAGAGAGGAACTACCTCTTGTCAGTGTGATTTTCTTCAACCTCTAGAAAGGAAGTTAAGTAGAGCAGTAAGGGGTTCATGGCCTAGTGATTACATAAATGTGCTCTGCGAAGTAGAAGAGCAAAACCAAGAAACGAGACAGTCTGCAACACCATCTAGCCCACACATTAGAAACACAGGCTCATATTCCACAAATAGAAGGCTTCAGCTATCTCTGGGGGTAGGTAGAAGGGAAAATGGTGGTGACTGCAAAGGGACAAACAAGCATTCACAGGAAGGGATGGACACAGGAGAGTATTGATTGAAGTCCTTGGCGTTTAATTTAAATTGTAAATTGCAGTGGCATTGTTAGAGACGAGTTGGGAATAGTGGTAAGAGCAGAAAAAAGTACAGAAATATCCTACACTCCGCTAAATGTATTCAGAAAAGTATATATAGTCCAATATAGCTTCCAAATGTTATAGTTATTGGCAGAGATTTTGAAAGACCAGAGAATCAGATTACTGGAAAGCAAAAAGTGGTCCTTTTTCAGTGAGTAACATGACAATTATTTCTGCACACAACAAAGCCAGCTGTATTTTGAGAGAAAAATAAGAAAAAAAAATTCTTAGCAAGAAGAAACACTGACATAGAGCCTTTTGCAGACATACGTTGAAATGGGAGCTGCTGAGTTCTTCTACGACTTCAAGGCTCTTTTCAGGTTTGCCCAAAACATCTGCTGCTGCTCTTCTTCAAGAGGCCACTCCAGGTAGGTTTTTGTGTTCATGATCTTCCGCAGCTTGCAGAACCTCTTGGGAATGGTTTTGCTCTGGATGGGCTCCAGGAGGACAAGAATCACCGCATCGTTGTTCTCATCAAAGAGGCGGAAATGTGAGAAGTCCAGCTCGTATTTGCACCACTCGCTCTGCACAAAGTGCTCGGACAGCACAAAGAGCGTTTTGTGGCTCTTCTCAATGGAGTCAATGATGTTGTCCACTATCCACTTCCCAGGCACAAAGTCCCGCTTATGGAGGCAGAGGCGAAAGGGAGGGCAGGCCTGCTCCAGCTCCCGCACCATTATGTTTTCCACCCAGTCGGAGTCGTTCTCACTGTAGGAGACAAAAGCGTCATAGCAGATGTCCTTTGGCGGGGCTCGCTTGGGCTTCCGCTTGGCTTGGAGCCACGCCCAGGTCATCCTCAGGTACCAGACCGCGTGGTACTTGTAGCCAACAGCTACAAGGATGAGGATGACCAGGAACACCAGGATGCAGATCGATGACACCATGAGGGACCTGTGGCACTCCATCAGGGACAGGTGTACAGCTCCAACCTGGGCCCCTCTCACCGCCAGCGGAGAGTCGCAGACGTACTTGTCTGGCCACCCCACCAGCACTTGGGATATCCCAGCCTGGTGGTGGATGAAGGAGAGGAATTCACAGGAGCAGATGAAGTTGTTGTCACTGGCATCCAGCAGCTCCATTCTCTTGAAGGACTCAAACTCTTCCTTGGAGAAACTGTTGAGCTTGTTTCTCCTGACTGACATGACCACTAAGTTTGGAATGGGTGCAGCACCAGGCAGGGTCTTCAGCTGGTTTTTTGTGAGGTACAGCTCTTTCAGAAATGGGAGCTGCAGTCCAAACTCCTTCAGATTGTTAGCACTAACATCCAAAACCTCCAGCGTTGGGGGAATGCAGGTCGTTACTTCAGGAATTTGAGTGCTGGAGAGGTTTAAATATTTCAGGGTTTTTGGCCATTCGCATGCATCTGGAATCTCACCAAAATTATTTTGGCTAATGTCAAGATTATTCAGTTTGGGTAGACGAGATACATATTTTGCAGTCCATTTCAGAGATTTTAGAGAGTTTTGACTTAGATTTAGAGTTTGCAGTGAAGGCCAGGCATCTTTACAGATTGTCTCATCTAAACGATTATTTACAAGCAAATTATCATTAAAGTCTAGATACGTAAGTGATGAAAAATGTCTTGCAAGCTTGCATGGTACCATGAAAACTTTAGAGCTTGCAACAGTGAGTCTTTTCAGTTTGTTTACTTGTGACTCCATACCTTCTAGGTCAACAAACAGATGAAAACTCTGAATCATTATATTTATTATTGATATTGTTTCAACAAAACTTTGCCCACTGCTTGCAATTTCTTTAGTGTTCCATACACCCCTCCCATCAAGCGCACAATCTATTGCCTCTAACTCTCGTAAAGAGGTGATTTCCTTCAATAATACCAATAATCGGCTAATAGACTGGTCTGTGAAGAAAGCATCTTTACACGTAAGTTTTTGCATCCTAAAAGGACGTGTAGAGTTCTGCACCAAGCTTTTTATTTCAACTGCTAATTTGATTTCTCTCACTTCTAGCCAAGTCACAGAGTGCAGAAGGTCCCTAACAATTTCTGAGAATACATCACTATTTCTTAGGTTTATGACCATGTGATTTATCTTCTTAATCAATTTCAAACTTCCCTGCTCATACTGACTGAGATTACCACCATCAATCCACAACTTGTTGAGAAGCTCAATGCCCTCAAAGTTCCCTTGCCTTATCACAGAGAACCGTGGGTTGCCCAGGCGGAGAGAGCTCAGGTTCCTCAGACCAGAAAAGGGAGAGCTTTCTCCCAGGTCTCTGTAGAAATTGCCTTGAAGGTGGAGGTGCTGGAGTGAGAAAAGGTGCCCAAACCACACAGGGGACAAGTGAGCCAAGCTGTTATTTGATAAGTCCAAGAGCTCCAGTTTTGCCAGGGACTGAAACGAGTCTTCATCTATGGAGCTGATTTTGTTGGCTTGCAGCAGCAGGGCTCTCAGGTTCACAGCCTGCTGCAGGTCCTGGGATCGGATGTGCTTTATCCTGTTGTGGGCCAGGTTTAACATTGTGATTTTGGCGGTGAGCCCTGGGGGAATGAAGTCCAAGCCCATGGAAGAGCAGTTGCAAAGCTGAGCATCACTGCATGAAGGACAAGCCTGCTTCAGCGCTTGCTGTTCAGAGAGGTTTGCAGCTAAGAGCATGTAGATGGCCCACACTTGCCAGCTGTGTGTAGTTCCTGATTTGTTTTTTTTTTGTTTGGACATTTTGCTGTAGGAAACAGAAAGGAGAGAAAGTAATGTCAAATTTTAGTGTTGAACAGTAACAGAAAACTATTGAAATCCTGTGCAACTTTATTAGTAACCTCAGATCAATTAAGAGTGGCTGGAAAGCTGTCCAACAGAAAAGGATCCAGAGATGCTGGTTGACAGCCATCTGAACATGAGCCAGCAGTGTGCCCAGGTGAACAAGAAGGCAAATGGCATCCTGGCCTGTATCAGAAATAGTGTGGCCAGCAGGACCAAGGCAATGATTGTTCCCCTATACTCAGCACCGGTGAAGCTGCATCTTGAATCCTGTTAAGCCCCTCACTTCAAGAAAGACATTGAGGTACTGGAGCATTTCCAGAGAAGGGCAATGAGGCTGCTAAAAGTAAGTTTTTTGAGGACCAGCTGAGGGAACTGGGGCTGTTTAGCCTGGAGAACAGGAGGCTCAGAGGGGACCTTATTACTCTCTGCAACTACCTGAAAGGAGGCAGTAGTCAGGTGGGGGGTCTCTCTCTTCTTCCAGGTAATAAGTCACAGGACAAGAGGAAATGACCTCAAGTTGCACCAGGGGAAGTGACAATTGGATAATCTAATTGGATATTAGAAAATATTTCTTCACAGAAAGTGTGGAGCACTGGCACAGGGAAGTGGTGGAGTCATCGTCCCAGAGGTATTTTAAAGACATGTAGACGTGGTGTTTACAAACATGGTTTACTGGTGGACTTGGCAGTGTTTGCTTAATGGTTGGACTCAATGATCTTAAGGGTCTTTTTAAATCAAAGTGATTCTGTGATTCTATGGTTCCAAATGCTCACAGTCTTTACAGCGTCAACCTGCCCATTTTGAATGGCTACCTGGCAGGCAGAAGCCTGAAGACAGCATGTTCCCCTTTCCAGCCCTTTGACTGGGCTATGGCTTCCAACACCACAAAGTTTCCTGGAAGGGATCTGGGTGTTCCCGGCACAGAGTCTCACCAGCCTCAGTGCTTCTAAAAGCAGAGCTGCATAGACTACTGCCACACCCTTTTGTACACTGTGCAAGCAATTTACATTCTTTGCTGGAAAGGCAGAACAAGCTGATATGGAATGAAACAAGTCTATCACTCTTTTCTGTAAAACAACACCATTAATGGATGGGAATTGGATGTCACCGTCACCCTATAAACACTGGATGTAATTAGAAAAAGACTGATTTTAAAGTAAAGAAAGGCTGTGTTTCATGCCAAAGGGACCAAAGAACAGGTCACCATTGTGACGCTCACAAATTTTAACTGTAAACAGCTCCAGGACTACAGACCAACACTATCCAGAAGCCCTGAATAAGCAGAGGTTAAGTACTTACCTTGTGTACCGTGTGCTGTACTTTATTCTCCTCATATGCTGATCATGCACTCTGGCATCTGAATGGTCACCTCATCCCTGTAAACGCAAAGGTGGAAATGTTCGGCAGGTCAGATGAGGCAACAGTCCTGAAGCGACAAAATATTTCAGCCTGTTCTCAAACAAAACTTTATGTTCACAGTTTCCCAGCGTCCTTTAACTATTCAGTCAGTGAAGCATACCAGTTTGCACGGCTTCTCTTTAGAGGAGGCTCCTCTAAGGAAATCAGGGCTTCTGAAGAGTTCAGGATTGCCTGGCATGCCCTTGAAGGTGTGCCCTTCAAACTCCCATTTCAACCAATTCTATTGCTGCGGCTGACTGGGGACACAAAAATGAGCACAGGCTGTGGTTGCTTTCTCTTCTTCGCAAGATGAAATTCAGCTTTGCAAGCTGAAATTCAGTGTCAGTCTCTCTCCTTTTGTCAGTCAACTCCTATTGCTGGAAAGGCTGATTCAATCATTTTGCACAAGTCATTCTTTCATAATCACTTCCTCCAGTACTAAGGGCAGAAATAGTTCCTAGGCAGAACTGCATACTCTCCATATCTCTAGTTTCAATACTTGTTGTTTGGTAGGCACTGGGACGTTGCTTACTGTGCTGGGCAACAGAACATCTCAGCATAACAAAGTTATTATTGTGTAAGTTCTGTAAAATATTATCAATATATAGAGTGACACATATATTATAGTGCTATAAGTGTTGGAGTCAAAATGTTTAGCCAGGGAGAGTACTAGAGAAACACTGAGCATATTTAATTTCCTAAGACACTGCAGTCATATGTTGTCAACAAATAGAAAATGTGTAAGAATGGGAATGATATTCTGTCTGAAACACAAGATACAATTTGAAGAAAGCATCCCTCTGCAAACATTAAAAGCAATTTTGAGAGAGGAGGTTTGAACAGAAACATTGAATTGGTAAAATAGCCAAGCATGCTGTTTACATAAAGGGGGAGGGATTCTTCCTACCAGCTCTGAAAGGGAAATCAATTAAATTCAAACACCAAACATTCCTACTGCCGTTTCCACTTTGTTTCCTGTGTCAGAAATTGTCACAGTCTGCTGCCCTCTTGCACCAAGAAGTACCTGCCTGAGAGCAGACAGACAGACAGACTGATTCCTGCCATATGTCAGAGGGCCCACAGCAGCACCTCTGTGCTCAACAGCCCATGGAGAGCCCAAGTGTGCCTAGCAACCTTCAGTCCTGCACTGACATAAGCATTGCACATTAGGTTATGAACTCGTTGCTTTTCAAAAAAAAAAGAGGATAGCTGATAAGCATAACAACATTGTAAAACAGAGGCAAAGCAGCTATGAGGCACAGCCAAGAAGGGAAATGGTCGTTACGTAAAGGGATGTCATCAACTTCCCCAAAGCCACCTCTTCCCTCTAGCACCTCTCAGCTGAAATGGTTCTTGTTCTTCAACAGGGAAGACTTTCAGTTTTCACCGTGTTAATTCAGGGTTCAATTAGACTATATATTTTTGTCATCAAAATTGCAACTCCTTAATAAAGTTAAATAATTTTAGTTCAATTTGTGAAGAGCTTTGGAGAAGGAGACCATCAATGAGGCCATGTACATCACTGAATGTGAAATGGGCACTCTCTTCTATTTGTTACAGCTTCGTCATCACACATTCGGGGAGACTTGAGGTAACTGCCTGTTTTTTCAGAAGTAACAACTTTCTCCTAACATCCAGGCTTAGCCAGCTCTCATCATGGCTGTACCCTAGGCTAGGTTTCTCTCAGAAAGAGAAGATGGATGTGACCATGTCACAACTCACAAACCAAGCAGTTAATTTCATGAAGCTGCTTAAAAAGCCAAGAAATTTGCGTGGGCCTTCTGCTTGTTTCCCTTAGTAGGAAAAAAAGTCTAAAAGCAGCACAACTTCTGTCTCTGTCTCTCTCTCTCTCTCTCTCTCTCTCATTCCAGGTCAATTTATCAGGATTTATCATGTTATTCATAGTCAGGAGGGTCCGAGGATGCTCAAGGTGGCCAGAAATGCCCTCCACAAAGCTGCCCCCCACAAAGAGGCAAGGTACAAATCACCTGCCTCCCAGAACATCAGTTTCCACATTGAACTGCAGCATGACTCAAAAAAACTTCTTTTGAAATCAAAGAGTCCGAAGTAAGAGAAAGCTGTTGTCTTTTAAGGTAAGAATACCCTTCATCTGCTTTTTCTCCAGAATAACTGCATGTTCAGCATTGAACAAAGTTGTACCTTGTGGGTGCTTTCTCTCCTCCACCAAGTTTAAGCTATGATTAACCTTCCTCTTTTAGTGTTTTAAAAAAAAAATCACATGCCTTTTACTTAATGCCTACATTACTTTTTCCCAACAGAAGTGCACAGATCTGCAACAAGCCTGAGCTTTTGTAACTGCACGTTTTCCAAGCAGAGACACCACACAAGCCTTTGCCATCAGGTAGATAGGGCTAAGATAGAGATGTGGTCGTCATTTTTGAATCTTTCTCTAAATGTTTCTATTTATCCAACAGCAGAAAAAGCAGCAGATGTTTCTCTCAGCCAGCTCTTCCCTCATCCCCAGCTACAAACTGTTCAGCATCCCTGCTTCCCACTGCTCAGTGACAGGTCCCTGCGTTGGCTCTGCTGGCAGAGGGACAGGCTCTTGTCACAACCCTTCTCCATCAGCAAACTGCTGCTTTGCCACAACCCTTTTCCACTAGTAAACTGCTGCTGTGAGAGAGGGCAGCAACCAGTGAGGAAGGGCTATATTAAATGAGTGTTGACCAAAATAAATATAGAAACAAATATATATATATTTGTCTGTGTGTGTGTATATATGGGACCAAACCACATAGGGATGGACTTGTTGATCAAAAACCACAAACCAAGTGGCAACACTAGTCCTCAGTCAGTCTACCATCAGAGTTAGAAGGATTATTTCACTGTTATATCCCCACTGCCTCCTCTTTATGCATATGTTTTTTTACTCAGGAAGCATGACTTTACGACGGGACTCCAGCTGCTAGATTTCTGCAGCCCTCTCCCCTCTGCCAGCTAGAGGTACAGACTGCTCCATCTTCTGCAGTACGTGGGCATCTTGTACCCTTTAAGAATCACCTCCCCAGTCTCACATGAGAGGATCCTGCAGCCTGTCCTTTCTCTTCCTCTATTTCCTCCTCAGTGCCAGTATCCACACTCAGAGCTGCTTGTTGCTTTTCTGCTGAGGAAGAACAAGTGAGCAGTGCAGAAGGGCCCCAACTCAGGCAACACCCCACCTCAAAGAGAAAGCAGAAGCAGTAGAAAAGGGAAGCAGTGCACTAATCCATTGACCAGTCTGTGATATGAGCAGAGGTGCATTCCAGATCTTTGTGAGCAGCACAAAACTGATTCCTGATACTTACCCCTTGTAACCAGGATGTGTCAGCGTGTCAGCTTGGCTGCAGCAGTGCCAGGCAGACTGAACCTGGGGTTCTTTTACCCTAATCCTCACCAGAAATGGATGCCAAGGAAAAGCCAAAAGTCAAAACTGTGACTCCAGTCTTTGGAGCAGGAGGTATAATATCCATGTAATTGAAAGCAGAATGGCTTGGCGTCCTTTCACAGTCCTGGAAGCAGAGCCTTGACATGCACTGGTGGTGCCTGTGCTTTAATATGACTTACAGGGCTTCGGGTATTCCTTTTCAAACTAAAATAAAAAGGAACATGATAATGAAAAATAAACTATTTTAGCTTTGTCATATTCCATATCAGGCCTACCCTGCCAGCTGCTCAGTCTCCTGGTTATATCTTCAGACTGAAAGTTTAAATTCAAAGGAGCTGATTTCATTTGTTTTTCTTCTGGGCAATCCTTTCTTCTAGGCAATGCAGTTGTAGCAGAGCAAGATAATTCTGTGTAACTGGTTAGTCATTCAACAGCCAACCTACAGGACTGCCTCTGCCAAGGAAACAGTTGTTGATTTATTTTTATCATATCCTTTTTATCATATCCAGCCAGAAAAACATGACACTGATTTTCTGCCTTAACCAAAGTGCAGCTAGCAGGGAAGTTTGCAGGTTAAGACATCAAAGCTTATTCTAATAATATGGAAAGTTTCATTTGTCTAGAATAGTTGTCCCAGCATGACTCAACAAGAGAAAATACGTCATTTCTGCCAAAGTATTCCTGATGATTTCTTGACTCTCAAGAAAACTGCATCAACAGAAAGCAGCCTACATGCAAGGCAAAGCTGGATGATGCAGTTTCTTTCTTACTTTGCAGATTAGGTGGAGTGAAAAAATTTATTTCTGACAGGAACATTATGATTTTACATTAATACACAGTAAATACATATTTTCCATTACTACAAAGTAAAAAAACCCCAAGTATTGACCCCTATTCTGAAGACCACTATGACAAACACACAAAATCCCGTTATCATCACTGCACAGATTTGTTACTCCAAAATGAGAACTCTGAGACAATTCACACAGAACAGGCCCCCACAACTATTGCAGTTCACTCCCCCAGCTCTCATGGGGCTGGACGCCAGTCAAACATGTCCATGAGTAGCTCAGCCACACACAGACGCTGGACACACACTGGGATCAATGGCACCAGTGTCTGTCATGGGGCTCCCTGGCATGCTGCAGAGTGTAAGGTAAGATACAAAGCCAATGCCAACAACTGACTATCTTCCTCAGGGCATATGTTGGAGAGGTCTGTCTGGAAATGTATCTGGTTGAGTAAAACTTCCTCTGAGCACCACCCAGAGCTTCCTGCATCCCTTTGGAAGGGATCCAGCTCCCAGAGAAGATACAGGGATGGGAACCACATGTGGAGGCAGGTACCCAAGACCCACGCTGCTCAGAGCAGCCTTGACCTCAGCTTTTCTTACAGACCACTTTGGCTGCACCAGCCCTTATACTTCCCATATTCACAGTCCTGGATTTCCACAGGCACTCCAGAGAAAGCCTAATCAAGCCGTGGGACTCAGAAACCTGAAACATACATGTTACAGTACTGGGATGTCAGAGGGCAACCCAAATCTACCTGGGCAGACAGGCACCCAGCTTGCTGCCGCTGGGGATTCATCCCCTAAAAACAGGCATAATCTGGAAATCATATTTTCTTCTAAAATATTTTCTGCAATTTTCATGCTGTTAATTGGTTCAACATTATCAATGCACAAAGCTAGTTCTTAAGATTTTTTTTTAGAGATTTTCAGGAAATACCTCTATGTAGCTTTCCCAAGTACCACTCACAGAGTATTTTAAAGGATTTTTTTTTCTTTGTGCTACATCTATCTCACTCTTTTGTGTTGATTAGTT